AAAAAATTATTTAAAATATTAAAAAATTCAGTAAAAATAAAAAAATACGAAAATCAAAAAACTCAGTTTTAAAAAAATTTAATCCAGAAAATTCAAATCAAACACATTGATTAATGTGACTTAAAAAAAATAAAAAGATAAAAAATATATTTATATAGTGTATTCCAAACAAAAATTTTTTACATATGAATTTCACCACTATCTCCATCAACCAGTCACCTAGAAAAATGTGAGATGATAAGTTTGGATTTCATTCATGTATGCCATTAGATTTTTCACTCCTCATATTAACATCATTCGAATGTTTTTATAATAAATTTTTTTTGGCTAATGATAGTTGATTAATGAGTAGTCCTTAATAACCTCAATATATGTTAAAAAAACATATATTAAGATATATAGAAATATATTTAAAATGCATTTAAAATTTAATTATTTGACTTTATTTCGCTTTCAAGATGGTTCGCAGGATTATCGTGCTAGCAACATCCTTTTATTTTTATGAACATTATGTCATTGTAAGTATAATTACAGGGTACTTCAGTTATGTTTTATTTTCTGATTTTTGTTTTTATTTTTTGAAAAAAAAAAAAAACTATTTTTTTTAACATTGTGTTTAAATTACGAATTTGGATAGAAATTTTAAAAAGGAAAGGAACAGAGGAATTGGAAAAAAAAAAAAAAGTTTAGCATGTCATTTCATTTACATTATTCTCATATTTCCCTTCTTTTTTTTTTCAAATATTTATCTAAATTCATGATTCAAATACAGTCTAAAGATGTTGATCAAAGCAATTCACCTTTTAAGAAATACTTAAAAGTTATTTTTCAAATTTTCGAAAGTAATTTTGTCATAAAAATGAAATGATTGATGTTTTCAAAGTTTTATTGTTAGAAAAAGAAAAAACACCGAAGGGCCCGTAACTTTTGTAACAAATTTGGGTTAATTGACATAAGGGTAAATTTACACTAAACTCTCTTAAAATTTGAAAAAAAATACATTGAACATCATAAATTTAACATAATTATTGGATTCCTTTACTATTTTAATTTGCATAGTATATAGTTTTATTTGAATCAATAATTTGTCAGTCGTATGGATAAAAAATAATGTTTTTATCTCTATAATATTGAAATATATATTTTATCTAATTTATGGTTGTCATCATACTATTTGCATTAGTTTAGTCACTTTAGCTTTACTACCCAAAAAAAAATGTTTAGTGTAATTTTAACAAATTTGTAAGCCTTATTAATTTTTTCTAAATATTAAGTGTGACCAGTGTAATTTACTCTAGATATAATTAAAGAATAATGTTAGACTTCATAAAGATTTTTTATTATTTAATTGATGTGTGGTGTTTTATTTTATGTGTAATCCAATAATAAAAAAAATTTATGAAGCTTTTCATTTTCATGATATTTCTTTTATGAAATCCAATATTACTATAGCCAAAAGTTGTCTATGAATGTGTTGAGAATATTGTTGTTTGGATTGTGAGATTCCATTACGTGGTATTTTGAAAAATTAGTAAAAAATTAATTTTTTGACTTTTTTTTGTAAAAAAAATAAAGAGATGATGTGACTTAAAAAAGTCAAAAAAGTCAAAAAATTAATTTTTTATTAATGTGAGTATGTTAATCCTTTTTAATTTAAAATAATTTTAAATTTGTATTCTTATTCTATGGTCATTGTATGTCATATGGAAGATAGGATCAAAGTCCTTGTTTAACATACTCCAATAAAATCATATGAAATTTGTCATAATTACTTTACTTTTATACTTTTTTGTTTTTTGGGGGGGCTAAAATTTTTTCGTTGGTGGTGATGGGCAGGTATCAATTGATTGTGCAATAGTGATAAGTCCAAAGAAGCAGGCTCTCACCTACAAGCAGTGTGGATTCGATGGCTTGAGCGTCTGATCTCACCCCTTCTCCTTTCATACCCATATATCATTCCTTCACCCTTACCCCCCCATAATTGAACTCTTTTTCTCTCTCTAGAAAACACTATGAGAGAGGAAAATATAGAATTTGAGAAGGGAAAAAAAAAAAAAAGAAGAAGAGCAAATGCGTCTCAACTCGGAATCAATGGGATGGAAAAAATTGTAGAAAAAGCAAATCTAGGTGAGATTCTAATTTTTAAGAGAGCGTAGAGTTTTTTTTTATTTATTTATTTAAATTTTATCATTGGAGAATTTTGGGCAAAGTTAAAAAAAAATATTTGGTGCTCAGTGTAAAGTTTGGACTGATGTATGCTATCCTGCGCCCCATTAGCTATTGTTTCTTCCCACTTTTCTAAACCCCCTTTCTCTCTCACATGGAAAAGAAATGGAGAGTGAGAATATTTATTTGGTGGCCTTTTTGCCTTCTTGTTTAAGTTTTACTCAAAATTCTAATATTTATGTGAGAGTTGTGGAGCTAGTACTTGAACCATTGCATTCTTGGGTTGTGAATGAAAAAAAAAACATTTGAGATTCATGTTTTTTAGAATCATTTTTCATGGATTTGGCCCCATTCTTGAACATATGTACTTGTATGTTTTTAGAATCCCTTTGTCGTATTCTTTTGAGTTCTTATTGGATTTGTTTGTTGGTACCACCTAAGCAACATCATTTCTAATTCTTTTTTAGTTCTTATTGGATTTTCGTAGCTCCTAAGCAACGTCATTTCTAGATTCAGATTCTTTATATTGCATATTTAATGACTATTTTTACCGATAGGGATCATAAAAAAAATATTATAAAATATATTAAGAAGATTTTTTATTTTTTAATTAGTGTATGGTGTTTTATTATATATGTAATTTAAAAGTAGAGAATCTTTTATTATTATTTTCATGATATTTTTTTCATGATTTTTAACATTACTCAATAGAGATTTATGCTGCGTTTGGTTTGAGAATTTAGAAAAGAATTTGAAAATGAAAAAGTACAGGTATGTAAAATTATATGAAATGTAGATATATTTTACTCTCATTTTATCTATTTTTTTTATTTTCCTTCTCAAATTTCTTCTGAAATTTCCCAATCAAACAAAGCATTAAAAATTTTCATTACTTCAACTTAAGAATAGTAATTATACAATGGGATCTGTAATTTCTTTATTACCACTAGGCAAAAACGACAATGGGAGACAACTCGGCAACTCATGCGGCTGCATTCTAGCTGTGTGGGATTTTTTTATAATAATTGAATGGAAAACATGGGGGGGTGTCAATCATTATGTTTTTTCACAATAGTGTGAAAGTCTTGCCCAGGACGGATTGGATTACTAATCAATATGATATGATCACAATCAAATGTGATTTTTATAATCCATGCTGTGTAGTAATTTCAACTACTGACATAAAGCAGCTGAATTTTCTTCTGTTCATAATCTGTATAAAAGGGTGTTGGAGACACTTTTGAATCCATCAAAACATCTATTTTTATAATCTAAACTATTTATATCATTTATGAAAAAAAATATATATATATATATATATAAATAAGTTACCCAATAATCATATTTTATTTAATTTATTATATTTATGTCCAAGAAATTAAGAATAAACGTGTTTTTAAAAATAAACTATTTATATTTACAGACTCTCCCCCAAAAGCACAAATTTACCTCGATCAATTCATAAATTTGAAAGCCATAAGTTTTAAAACCTCAAAAACAAAATCAAGATTAAGTTTAAGTGAAATTGTATATAATGAATTTGAATTTACATCTAAAACATAGTACTAAAATTTCTCAAGATCCTAGTTGAGCTTAATCCTTAAATCAAAAACCTAAATAGATTAAAATTTATTTAGATCATAACAAATTATTTGAGAAATGACACATAAATGAAAAATTGAAAATATAATTATAAATTCGCGAATATTATTGTGAAATCAAGAAAGATTTATGCCTTAGACCATAATTCACTTTAATGTGCATATAGTATTTGTAGATTTTTTCATATAGGATTTTTACGGGTGTACTAATGGTGATTTTGGCATGGTACATGATGCACTAAAACAAAATCAACCATCAAATCAAAAATTATTAGGGAAGAAAATTAAATACAAAAATTATGTGAATTATTAATCTTTTTTAGTGCACGATGCACAAAGATTCTGGTTGATTGATGCACCGTAGTTAGACTTCTTCGTATTGGAGAATTTATTATTATCATTATAATATTTTTGTCAAGAGAAATAAAGGAAATAAGGAAAAGAAAATTGACTCAAACTTAGAGTTCACACCTAGTAAGAGTATACTTCAACTACAAGGATGATAAATTAGTCAAGTAATAAATTATTTAAATTTGATTTAAAAATTCAATAAATTTAAAATTATGTCTAAACTTGACTTATTTATATATTAAGTTAATTTCGAATGAACTTTTAACCAATCGAATTCGGGTCATTTGATTTGTTTAACAGCCTTAACTATCAAACTAACTCTTTAGTCTTTACATCGAGAGAAATTGCTGGCTCCGTGATTGGTTACTTTTTCTTTTTTTTGAAAAATAGAAAGTATATACCCTCAGGCAGCTGCAGCCTGGATATGACTGTTGGCATCCTTTTAAATGAAAATAATTTTTTTTTCATCAAATCAATTGTTAATCAACAGAAGAAAAAGGGCTAGGGGGATATATTCTCATCTTTTTTCCCACCAATAACTTTTTTCATATATATTAAACAAAATTTAAAAAGAACAAGCTCAGATCTGTGTTTGATCCAATCAGTAACATCAGATCCTCTTTAAAGTCATAGTTGAATTTTCTAATAATTCACATTCAATACAAAACCAAAAGCAACCTCATCCTCATTGGCAGCAGCAGAAGAGAGATGTCCAAGCCAAATTGAACTAGTGAAAGTGATAATATCACATGAGATTTCCTCCCCCTCCCTTTTTTCTTTTTTCTTTTTTCTTTTTAATTTTTGAGTCAAAAATTGATAATCGAAAAGGAAAAATTAAAATCATTCTCTCTTAATTTTTAGATAATTAACTTATTTAAATTATTTTATCTCAAAAATTGAAAACTTTAGACTAGACATATTGACACAGATTTTTAGAATAATACACTTATAAGCAACACTAATAATCAATTAATAACCATTGATGATTGTTCAAGCGGTAAGAACATGGTCCCAGCCCATGTCAAACAGCCAAACAGCTTCATCCCAAACAGCCCCCAAGTTTGTGTTTGGAAAGTTAGTATTTTAGTAAAAAAGTCTAAACGTTAAAACATCATATAGAAAAAGTCAAATTTTCTTTTCTTCTCTCTACTTTTATTACATTTTTTTAAATAAAAAAAAATTAAAAATTACTAAAAAAAACACTTCCCAAATCAATCCTAAATAACACTAACCCTCTTACCAAAAAAAAAAACACAACCCTCCCCTCTAACTTCATCTCACGTTGTTGTTGGTTCATATCAAGCCCAAAATTGTAACCCAAAACCAAAACCCAAACTCAGACAAGTTCTGGTTTTGGATTTATGGACTCGATAGATCTTGGTTTTGGACCCGGCCCAAGTGGTCTTGTCACACACGCCCGTGGCAGTCCAAGCCCAATCAACAATGCCGAGAGAGAGAGTGAGATGTCCGTCTGAGAATCGCAACAACTCCGGCGAAGAAGTGCCGATCAGCGAGAAGAAGACGCTTCGATTCAATGGATCTCTCTCTCTAGGGCACAATTACGTCAATGACATGTGAGTTTGTCTTGTGTGTTCATGGACTTTGCCACCATCACCCATCCACCCACACGCCCACCACCACCACCACCACCACCACCACCACCTCAATCACAACCACCACGACCACGGCCACCACACAACCACCGCAACTCCCACTCCAACGACCACTACTACCCACCCCCATACTCCTCCTCCTCCTCCTCAGCCTCCCTCAAAGGCTGTTGCTGCTGCCTCTTCCTCCTCTTCTCCTTCCTTGCCCTCCTCATCCTCGCCGTAGTCCTTGTCATTGTCCTCGCCGTCAAGCCCAAAAAGCCCCAATTCGATCTCCAACAAGTCGGCGTCCAGTACGTCGGCATATCCCCAAACCCTCCCTCCACCACCGCCACAGAACCGTCGTCCGCCTCCGTATCCCTAAACATCCGGCTCCTATTCACGGCGGCGAACGACAACAAGGTGGGGATAAAGTACGGAGAATCGAGATTTACGGTAATGTATAGGGGGATTCCGCTGGGGAGAGGGGTGGTGCCGGGGTTTTACCAGGCGGCGCACAGCGTCAGGCAGGTGGAGACCACGGTGGCGGTGGATCGGGTGAACTTGATGCAGGCCGACGCGGCGGAGCTGGTGAGAGACGCCACGCTCAATGATCGGGTGGAGCTCAGGGTGTTGGGTGATGTTGGGGCTAAGATCCGGATTCTTGGGATCACTTCGCCCGGTGTGCAGGTTAGCACTCTCCCCCTCTTCCTCACGGGAAATTATTCAATATGTATGTTTATAATTCTTAATCAATTCTTATTCAATCTCATTCAATATTTCACATATATTTCACCATTAGGCTCTCCAATCACTTAACATAATATTTCACATATATATTCTCTTTTCTAATCATAATATTATAAAATATTACGTATTTATATTCTGCAATTACTAAATCCTATCTCACTCTGTTTTTTTATTTTTTTATCTCTAATTTTGGCACAAGATTATTACTTCTTGCATCTTTTAATTCTAAACAGAAATACCCGTAGATTTTCCTTATTATTCTCTTGAAAAATTTAATGGAGTGTCTCACTCGAACATTTTAAAATTGAAACATTATCAGTAAATTTTTTGTAAATATTAATAATTATAATTTTTTTATATGTAATAATTTTTTAACGATTCTAATGGGTAATAACTAACCCCCCCTCTTTTAAAAAATAGTATTGAAATATTACTTTATATAAAATGACTAAATAATATTCCTCTCTCGCCGGCGAAACCCGCACTACATTTTCGTCCCCAATGCTGGCTGCTAACGTGCGCCGGCTAAGCCTAGTGCTGCTAACATGCGCATGGTGTTTTTGTTATAGGCATGGATTAAGGGGTTTATATTTGTCCAATTTTTAAATAAATAATTTTGTTTAATTTATTTTAAATTACTTTTGTTTTTATAAATTATGAGCATAAAATCAAAATAAAATAATAAGGGTACGTCTGGGAAGTAGGCTGACTTATTAATTTTTTAGCTGTTTTAGTATGGAGTTAAAAAGTCTCTTTTTTTTTATTTTTTTTGAGAGAAAAAATATAATGTTTATAGGTGAAATGTGATGTTTTATCTTATTAAACTAAAAAATTTATTTTATCTTTTTATGATTAAAATAAATCCCAACCAAACTCAACTCAACCCTTCTTCTCGATGGAAGCTTAAAATAAATAAAAAGCTACCTTCTTGGCCTAACTAACTAGAAGTAAACATGCTCCAACTTTCCTAACTTCTTTTAAAAAAAATTTAAACAATATTGTGCGGAATTATTATTATTATTTTGGTCTGACTACAACTACACTGACCACTTTCAGATTTAGATAAAGTTTTAGTGAGTGACACCGTTTTAACATCAGTATATTGAGTTATCTTGAGATTTTAATCTATAACATTTAGTTTTCTATTTTTTCATCAACAATTGTTGGTTATATGAATTAAAAAAATGATATTATTATCAGTTTTATATGAAAGTATATACTTTACATTATTTATTTTTGTATTTTTGCACTATCAACATTAATTTTGCTCTACTTAATTTTATTAAAATGGAATTCAGTATAACCATATTAAAATTTTGAAATTTATTGTATTTTCTTTAAATCTTGGAAAGGTCAGTGAAATTTACCCTCTTTTTTTTATGAATAATGCTTGGGACTCCCTTTTGGGGGTCACCCCCTCACCCCCCTTTGCCACGTGGCGTGTGGTGATTGGAGGAGCAGGAAAAAAAAGAAAAAGAAAAAGAAAAAGAAAATGTAACCAATGAGAGAGAAAGGGGGTCAAAGGGGGTGAGAGGAAAAGGGGGATGAATCATTGTTGTTTTTTTATACTAAGAAAAAAGTATTTATTTTACCTGTAATTTCCTCCAATTCGAATTATTATTATTATTTATTTATTTATTGCCCAAATTTAAAACAAACAAACGTCAATTTGTTTTAACAAAAAAAAAAACAAAATTAAAGAGTTGAAAAAAGGGTTATAGAATTAGAAGGTTAATGGCACAAAATGCAGCTCTATTTTCAGGTTGTGGATAAGACTATAACCAAACTGAGTTGTTCGGGAATAGTTTGAATTTAATTCGTTTGAGCTGTGTCCATTTACTAAATAAATGAGTTTGAGCTCGATTTTTAGACTCATTTGAACTCTGTTGGGTGTTTATATGAATTTATATATCGTATTTGATTGATTAAATTTATTATTATTATAAATATTTTTATATATTTTACATATAACCTTATTTTTTTAATAAGTAAATTAATTAAAAAAAATTCAATCTTGGGCTCGAATTCGTCTCTTTTATGTAATCAAATTAATTTGAGCTTAGCTCGGGTTTTTTAAATATTTGTCAAGTCAAGTTCGAACTCAATTATTTATGTTGACTTAAACTTGGCTCGGGTGCGAATTTGACTAAATTTTAATAAACAAACTTAAACACTAAAAAATTTGACTTGTTTGTCGTCTTAATTATGAATAGTTTGTTTGTTTATTTGTTTTTGTTTATATTTTTGTTTTGATTTCAAAAATAATAAGGTAAATTACACTAACAGTCTCTATAGTTCAGGGTTTGTGTCACTTTAGTCCCTGATTTTTCAATTGTGACACATTTAATTCTGAATTTTGAATCTTGTTCCAAATAAGGACAATTAACATACCATTGCCTAATTTCAAGGACAAAATAGTCAATTTGATAAAATATAAACTAATTTGATAAAAATAAATGTCAAAAAAATATTTTAAAAATTATTTCTATCCACCAAAAATAAAATTATGTAAAATTGATAAAAATTAATAAAAATTACATGATTAATTTTTAAAAATTAATTTTACATGATTATCATCCAAATACATAATAAAAATTAATTTGGTAAAAAAAAAAAGAAATAAATGTCTAAAAGATTTATCAATTTTATATAATTTTATTTTTAGTAAGTATAAATAATTTTTAAAAATTCAAAAATAATTTTTTAACATTTATTTTTGTCAAATGAATTTATATTTTATCAAATTGATAATTTTGCTCTTAAAAAATTTAATATTATATTCAATTGTCCTTATTTGGAACAAGATTTAAATTTCAAAATGAAATGTGTCACAATTGAAAAATCAATAATCAAAATGACACAAGTCCCAAACTATAGAGATAGTTAATATAATTTATCCAAAAACAATAATAATAATAATTAACGAATGTCATATTAGTTGCAACAATGATAGAGACCACTAATTTTGGTGCTCTAAAAAGACCACTAATGATATGGTACTCAATAAAAAAAGAAAAACAATACAACACCAAAGTCAAAACATCAAATCATTCCTAATGGGACCTACTGCCACATCATTAGTAATAGCACTAATTAGTGCTCTCACTTATTTTCTTATTAGTTGCTTTAAAAAGTAGCAATCAAAAGGACCCACAACTTTTAAAATATGAAATTACGTGGGTTATGGAGGCGTACTATTTACTCAGAGACTCGTCAGACATGTTTGCCTTCTTCACCATCAACATGAAGATGAGGATTTTTTCTTTGCTTTTTTCTTTTTTTGTTAGCCTTTTTTCAACTTTCTGGTCCCAAGAATTGCGTTATGTCAATCCACATCACATGTGTAAACTGCGAATATCAATCTTACAGTTATTTAAAATTATTATTTTATGATTTATATTTGGATTGTTTATAATTTTTAATTTTTTACAAAAAAAATTACAAAAAAATAAAGAGATAACCTTGCTTGTTTTCATTTTTCAAAAAACATTTTTCAGAAGATTCTGCATTCTTATTTTTCGTATTTTTTTATTTTTACTGAATTTTTTAATATTTTAAATAATTTTTTTACTTTTTAAACACATCAAACATAAATACACTTAAAAATTGTAAAAAAAATATTTTAAAAATTCACTAAATACCAAAAATACAACAATTCAATACATATTTTGTATTTTTATGTATTTATTAATTTTTTAAAATATTTTTTCACAAATATTTTACTTTTTAGATACATCTAAGTAAATTGCATCTAAAAAAGTAAAAAAAAATGTTTAAAATTTTAAAAGTATTCACTAAAAATAAAAAAATACGAAAATCAAAAAACTCAGTTTTAAAAAAATTTAATCCAGAAAATTCAAATCAAACACATTGATTAATGTGACTTAAAAAAAATAAAAAGATAAAAAATATATTTATATAGTGTATTCCAAACAAAAATTTTTTACATATGAATTTCACACTAATCTCCATCAACCAGTCACCTAGAAAAATGTGAGATGATAAGTTTGGATTTCATTCATGTATGCCATTAGATTTTTCACTCCTCATATTAACATCATTCGAATGTTTTTATAATAAATTTTTTTTGGCTAATGATAGTTGATTAATGAGTAGTCCTTAATAACCTCAATATATGTTAAAAAAACATATATTAAGATATATAGAAATATATTTAAAATGCATTTAAAATTTAATTATTTGACTTTATTTCGCTTTCAAGATGGTTCGCAGGATTATCGTTCTAGCAACATCCTTTTATTTTTATGAACATTATGTCATTGTAAGTATAATTACAGGGTACTTCAGTTATGTTTTATTTTCTGATTTTTGTTTTTATTTTTTGAAAAAAAAAACTATTTTTTTTAACATTGTGTTTAAATTACGAATTTAGATAGAAATTTTAAAAAGGAAAGGAACAGAGGAATTGGAAAAAAAAAAAAAAGTTTAGCATGTCATTTCATTTACATTATTCTCATATTTCCCTTCTTTTTTTTTTCAAATATTTATCTAAATTCATGATTCAAATACAGTCTAAAGATGTTGATCAAAGCAATTCACCTTTTAAGAAATACTTAAAAGTTATTTTTCAAATTTTCGAAAGTAATTTTGTCATAAAAATGAAATGATTGATGTTTTCAAAGTTTTTATTGTTAGAAAAAGAAAAAGCACCGAAGGGCCCGTAACTTTTGTAACAAATTTGGGTTAATTGACAAGGGTAAATTTACACTAAACTCTCTTAAAATTTGAAAAAAAATACATTGAACCTCATAAATTTAACATAATTATTGGATTCCTTTACTATTTTAATTTGCATAGTATATAGCTTTATTTGAATCAATAATTTGTCAGTCGTATGGATAAAAAATAATGTTTTTATCTCTATAATATTGAAATATATATTTTATCTAATTTATGGTTGTCATCATACTATTTGCATTAGTTTAGTCACTTTAGCTTTACTACGGAAAAAAAAATGTTAGTGTAATTTTAACAAATTTGTAAGCCTTATTAATTTTTTCTAAATATTAAGTGTGACCAGTGTAATTTACTCTAGATATAATTAAAGAATAATGTTAGACTTCATAAAGATTTTTTATTATTTAATTGATGTGTGGTGTTTTATTTTATGTGTAATCCAATAATAAAAAAAATTTATGAAGCTTTTCATTTTCATGATATTTCTTTTATGAAATCCAATATTACTATAGCCAAAAGTTGTCTATGAATGTGTTGAGAATATTGTTGTTTGGATTGTGAGATTCCATTACGTGGTATTTTGAAAAGTTGGTAAAAAATTAATTTTTTGGTTTTTTTTGACTTTTTTTGTGACTCAAAAAAGTTAAAAAAATAATTTTTTATTAATGTGAGTATGTTAATCCTTTTTAATTTAAAATAATTTTAAATTTGTATTCTTATTTTATGGTCATTGTATGTCATATGGAAGATAGGATCAAAGTCCTTGTTTAACATACCCCAATAAAATCATATGAAATTTGTCATAATTACTTTACTTTTATACTTTTTTGTTATTTTGGGGGGCTAAAATTTTTTGGTTGGTGGTGATGGGCAGGTATCAATTGATTGTGCAATAGTGATAAGTCCAAAGAAGCAGGCTCTCACCTACAAGCAGTGTGGATTCGATGGCTTGAGCGTCTGATCTCACCCCTTCTCCTTTCATACCCATATATCATTCCTTCACCCTTACCCCCCCATAATTGAACTCTTTTTCTCTCTCTAGAAAACACTATGAGAGAGGAAAATATAGAATTTGAGAAGGGAAAAAAAAAAAAAAGAAGAAGAGCAAATGCGTCTCAACTTGGAATCAATGGGATGGAAAAAATTGTAGAAAAAGCAAATCTAGGTGAGATTCTAATTTTTAAGAGAGCGTAGAGTTTTTTTTTATTTATTTATTTAAATTTTATCATTGGAGAATTTTGGGCAAAGTTAAAAAAAAATATTTGGTGCTCAGTGTAAAGTTTGGACTGATGTATGCTATCCTGCGCCCCATTAGCTATTGTTTCTTCCCACTTTTCTAAACCCCCTTTCTCTCTCACATGGAAAAGAAATGGAGAGTGAATATTTATTTGGTGGCCTTTTTGCCTTCTTGTTTAAGTTTTACTCAAAATTCTAATATTTATGTGAGAGTTGTGGAGCTAGTACTTGAACCATTGCATTCTTGGGTTGTGAATGAAAAAAAAAACATTTGAGATTCATGTTTTTTAGAATCATTTTTCATGGATTTGGCCCCATTCTTGAACATATGTACTTGTATGTTTTTAGAATCCCTTTGTCGTATTCTTTTGAGTTCTTATTGGATTTGTTTGTTGGTACCACCTAAGCAACATCATTTCTAATTCTTTTGAGTTCTTATTGGATTTTCGTAGCTCCTAAGCAACGTCATTTCTAGATTCAGATTCTTTATATTGCATATTTAATGACTATTTTTAATGATAGGGATCATAAAAAAAAATATTATAAAATATATCAAGAAGATTTTTTATTTTTTAATTAGTGTATGGTGTTTTATTATATATGTAATTTAAATGTAGATAATCTTTTATGATCATTTTCATGATATTTTTTTCATGATTTCTAACATTACTCAATAGAGATTTATGTTGCGTTTGGTTTGAGAATTTAGGAAGGAATTTGGAAATGAAAAAGTACAGATGTGTGAAATTATATGAAATATAGATATATTTTACTCTCATTTTATCTTCTTTTTTTTTTCTTTTCCTTCTCAAATTTCTTTTGAAATTTCTCAATCAAACAAAGCATTAAAAATTTTCATTATTTCAACTTAAGAAAAGTAATTATACAATGGGATCTGTAATTTCTTTATTACCACTAGGCAAAAACGACAATGGGAGACAACTCGGCAACTCATGCGGCTGCATTCTAGCTGTGTGGGATTTTTTTATAATAATTGAATGGAAAACAAGAGGGGGTGTCAATCATTATGTTTTTTCACAGTAGTGTGAAAGTCTTGCCCAGGATTGGATTACTAATCAATATGATATGATCACAATCAAATGTGGTTTTTATAATCCATGCTGTGGAGTAATTTCAACTACTGACATAAAGCAGTTGAATTTTCTTCTGTTCATAATCTGGATTAAAGGGTGTTGAACAGATTTTTGAATTCATCACAAATTCTGTTTTTATAATTTAAATCGTTCATATCATTTATGAAAATATATATCTATATATTTATATAAGTTGCCCAAGAATCATCTTTTATTTAATTTATTGCATTTATGTCCAAGAAATTAAGGATAAACGTGTTTTTAAAAATAAACTATTTATATTTACAGACTCTCCCCCCAAAAGCACAAATTTACCTCGATCAATTCATATATTTGAAAGCCATAAGTTTTAAAACCTCAAAAACAAAATCAAGATTAAGTTTAAGTGAAATTGTATATAATGAATTTGAATTTACATCTAAAACATAGTACTAAAATTTCTCAAGATCCTAGTTGAGCTTAATCCTTAAATCAAAAACCTAAATAGATTAAAATTTATTTAGATCATAACAAATTATTTGAGAAATGACACATAAATGAAAAATTGAAAATATAATTATAAATTCGCGAATATTATTGTGAAATCAAGAAAGATTTATGCCTTAGACCATAATTCACTTTAATGTGCATATAGTATTTGTAGATTTTTTCATATAGGATTTTTACGGGTGTACTAATGGTGATTTTGGCATGGTACATGATGCACTAAAACAAAATCAACCATCAAATCAAAAATTATTAGGGAAGAAAATTAAATACAAAAATTATGTGAATTATTAATCTTTTTTAGTGCACGATGCACAAAGATTCTGGTTGATTGATGCACCGTAGTTAGACTTCTTTGTACTGGAGAATTTATATTATTATTATTATTATTATTATATTTTTGTCAAGAGAAATAAAGGAAATAAGGAAAAGAAAATTGACTCAAACTTAGAGTTCACACCTAGTAAGAGTATACTTCAACTACAAGGATGATAAATTAGTCGAGGAATAAATTGTTTAAATTTGATTTAAAAATTCAATAAATTTAAAATTATGTCTAAACTTGACTTATTTATATATTAAGTTAATTTCAAATGAACTTTTAACAAGTCGAATTTGGGTCATTTGATTTGTTTAACAGCCTTAACTATCAAACTAACTCTTTAGTCTTTACATCGTGAGAAATTGCTCGTTCCGTGATTGGTTACTTTTTCTTTTTTTGAAAAATAAAAAGTATATGCCCTCAGGCAGCTGCAGCCTGGATATGACTGTTGGCATCCTTTTAAATGAAAATAATTTTTTTTTCATCAAATCAATTGTTAATCAACAGAAGAAAAAGGACTAGGGGGATATATTCTCATCTTTTTTCCCACCAATAACTTTTTTCATATATATTAAACAAAATTTAAAAAGAACAAGCTCAGATCTGTGTTTGATCCAATCAGTAACATCAGATCCTCTTTAAAGTCATAGTTGAATTTTCTAATAATTCACATTCAATACAAAACCAAAAGCAACCTCATCCTCATTGGCAGCAGCAGAAGAGAGATGTCCAAGCCAAATTGAACTAGTGAAAGTGATAATATCACATGAGATTTCCTCCCCCTCCCTTTTTTCTTTTTTCTTTTTTCTTTTTAATTTTTGAGTCAAAAATTGATAATCGAAAAGGAAAAATTAAAATCATTCTCTCTTAATTTTTAGATAATTAACTTATTTAAATTATTTTATCTCAAAAATTGAAAACTTTAGACTAGACATATTGACACAGATTTTTAGAATAATACACTTATAAGCAACACTAATAATCAATTAATAACCATTGATGATTGTTCAAGCGGTAAGAACATGGTCCCAGCCCATGTCAAACAGCCAAACAGCTTCATCCCAAACAGCCCCCAAGTTTGTGTTTGGAAAGTTAGTATTTTAGTAAAAAAGTCTAAACGTTAAAACATCATATAGAAAAAGTCAAATTTTCTTTTCTTCTCTCTACTTTTATTACATTTTTTTAAATAAAAAAAAATTAAAAATTACTAAAAAAAACACTTCCCAAATCAATCCTAAATAACACTAACCCTCTTACCAAAAAAAAAAACACAAAAAAAAAAAAATTAAATGTATATTTAGTTTTGGTTGTGAATCTTAAAAAAAAACATATGGGGAAATTAGTGGGTACCCATCCCCAACTCATCCCTTGTGGATATTTAAAGAATATCACCTACCCTACTCAATGGATAAAAAAAAGAGGGAAAAACTCATGTATTTAGATTGGGTCTCCATGAATATTCACAGGGTAGGTTATCCATTGCCATCCCTATTCCCAAATCAATCCTAAATAACACTAACCCTCTTACCAAAAAAAAAACACTAACCCTCCCCTCTAACTTCATCTCACGTTGTTGTTGGTTCATATCAAGCCCAAAATTGTAACCCAAAACCAAAACCCAAACTCAGACAAGTTCTGGTTTTGGATTTATGGACTCGATAGATCTTGGTTTTGGACCCGGCCCAAGTGGTCTTGTCACACACGCCCGTGGCAGTCCAAGCCCAATCAACAATGCCGAGAGAGAGAGTGAGATGTCCGTCTGAGAATCGCAACAACTCCGGCGAAGAAGTGCCGATCAGCGAGAAGAAGACGCTTCGATTCAATGGATCTCTCTCTCTAGGGCACAATTACGTCAATGACATGTGAGTTTGTCTTGTGTGTTCATGGACTTTGACAGTTAGTTCTTATGAGATATATGTAGATTGTGTTGTTGTTGTTGCAGTTAAATAGTGCTCGGTTTCTATGGAAACAATTCAATTCCTTCCTCGATCAAGGAAAGCCGGGCCTCAAGTGGTGGCTAGAGAAGCTCGAGATGTTGTGGCATCATTCTCAGGTGAGTTTGATTTCCTCTGTTTTACACACACATTCTTGAATTGAAATGTACCAGTTGGGAGTCTAGTAAATTAGTAACAGTAATTTTGAATGAAGTGGAAGATTATAGGAAATTTTGAATTCCATTTATTTGACTCAGATGAGAATTTATTTTATATATATATATATATATATATTTTTTTTTTTCTGGATATTGTTGGATGTTGATAGAGTACAGAGCTACTGTTAGCTAGGCTAAGAAACAAAAGTGATTGAATGCTTATTGTTTGAGTTGGGTAGTAATTAATTGAAGCTATAGTATTTTCTTCAAATGCATATGTAGTTTAACAAAAATGCTTCTTCCCATGGTTTTTGTTGTTTGAACTAAACATAAAAATCTGATTTTTATGGCTAAGATTGAATAATTAATGGAAAACTCTACACACTAATGCTTTGTTTGGATTATGGATTTCAGTAGGAATTTGAAAATAGAAATGGAAAATGAAAAGCTTTTCCTTTCGCTTTCCAAATCCCTACCCAAATTCATTATCCAAACGCAAACTAAGGGCTTGTTTTGGTTAGTAGGATTAATAGTGAGGAGATTAACAATTCGTGAGGTTAGTGTAGGATTGATTATCCAATTGGATTAGTGAGACACATAATTCTCTCTTGTCTATGTTTGTTTTGCAATAGGTATGGAAATAGATAATCCCAATTATATGTATGTTTTGTGTTATTCGTTGTAGGATTAAGAAATTTGTCAATTTTGTTAGGTAGAATGGCTATTGGAATATAATCCGAATAATAAAATTTGCAACCAAACAATGGAATGTGAGTCCCATTGATTAATAATCTCAATCATATGCTATAGTCTACCCAATCAAACAAGTCCTCAAAGGCTTAATTAGCAACTATAGGCTTTAAGTGAATCAGGTGGAAGACTATCTAATGGTCAAGGTCCACTAAGAATGGCTGAATAGCCTTCTGAGTGATTCATGTGATCCCATAGAAGATTAATGAAGTGGGGAGGTGCCCTTGTTAAACCGGATAAGTTGCAATTGCTCAAAGTTCTTGATCTAAGAAGTTGGGGTTCATCTGTCATTGTCATTCTTTAACCTCAAACTCATTGATATGTGTGGTTTTAAGTAACAGAATCATCTATCTCTCATTTGATTTCTAAATCATCGATTTAATTTGGTACTAGCCCATGAATAGTCATAGTAATGCTGTGTTTGGTTAAGGGATTTGGAAAGGAAAAGGAAGAGGGTAGGTGAAATGTGAATAAAATATACACGTTTCACACCTTTTTCCTTTCCCTTTCCAAATCACTTCCCAAATCCCCCAACCAAACACAGCGTAAGAAAAAAAAAATTATGACAATGGGCAAAATGTACTTCTTCCAACATAGATTAACTGCTCATTATAAAACAAAAAAATTGATTAGCTAAATGATGTCATCACATCATTCATAACAGTTCTTTTAGAACAATTACATATGCAAGTGTTTTGGAATCAAAGGGAGTTCGGGCGTTTGTTTCTTTTATTCTTTTAAAATTTGTTTTTTGTTTGTCTGCAGGGTTATGAATTAGTTAGAGGATAGGACTCTTTGTTGTCTTCTTTTACAGAGAGATGTTTTACCTTGTGGCACTTGTCGTCTTCTTGTCGAACTTTACACCAAAAGATGTTTGAGCTACTGCTGTGTGCTTATTCGACAGTAAACATTCAAGATACAGCTCTTTTGTTGGGAATGAATGATGATGATGCAACAAATTGTAAGTTTCTAACCACTCAGTCTTTGGCCTATGATGACATCAATACTTTCCTGAATCAGAATAATATTCGTGGTAAAATAGTTTTAACAGTGAGAGCATACCCATTGTTCTGAAGATGTAATTCTGCCATCATCTTGTTGTTTCTTTGAAATCAAATGTTCATCAACTTTGTTTCTGTACAACAATGAAAGCCCCCAAATTAATATATGCCTTGACCAATAAATTTGTTGTAAAGAAGTTTCCTCCACTTCGTTTTCATTCTTATTAGATTGCCTCTTGGCTTGTATTTGCTTTGTTTCACGTCTGCTTGTAAAATTGTTGGCTAATCATGGCTTTGTCTACCATGAATTGTCATGCTCATCGTGCAGATGTGCTGCAATGGGGTTGGAGTGTGGACTCAATTTCTCAAATGCTAACTGTGAAAAGCCAGTCTGTTGTGACGGAACAGAAATTAGATCCCAGCAAATTGCAACAGATTTTAAAGATTCCCAAATATGCCCGTTTTACTGGATAAATTCATTTATCTCCACCGTTAACAAAGGTGATGTCGAAGCTTTCCATGCTCTCCAATAATAAATTTTTCTGCTAGTAATCATAGCAATATTCACAGCAGATGAAGATATATACACAGCTACGAATCAAGATATTTACACTCACAATCAAAATATATTACAAAAGTCTCACTTTATTAGTCAAAAGGCTTTGTGGTCCTATATATGTCAACAATAGACCGGAACTTCCTCTTTCTTGGGCAGAAAGCTTCGCATCCCTTCATGAAAACACCTCCTTTTATGACAGAAGATGTATTGCTTTTGCTTTCTTCTTCTCCTCCGCCTTTCGCTTCTTCTTCTCTCTCTTCTGTGTCTTTGCTATCGGAGTTTCTGCTAAGCTGCATAATCTGTTGAGCCGCTAGGTTTGTTTCCATGGCTGGAGATGAATCATCAGTTATGTAACTTGTGTCGCTGTTGCTTTCTTCTTCTTCTTCTTTGGCTTTTACGTCCTTGTATGTGTATCTATTGGAATTGTCACAAAGCTGAAGCAACTGATGAGCAGCTTCCATATCTGGCTGTGTCATGTCCCCAGCATTCATGGTTCTTCTACTTCGACCTGCAATGGTTGATTCAGCTATTCAAACATACTTGTACAAGACTTACATGTGCATGTGTATATATATATAGAATGGTGTACATCTACTAAGTCTTTCGGTCTTTTTTGGCGAAGAGGAGGCATATAGATATAGATTATCAGACAGCATTCGATGCCATGCTCGTTCTTGATTCTTACCATGCTTATCGATCAAAGGCTTCATTATCCGATGTATATCCATGCCAATGCTTCCAAGCTTTTTGTCCCGGATTTTCCGAATCATGGATGAGAAAGATAAATCAGCAGTAGAGTCGCCTGTGCTTTGTTCTTCTTCGTTTTTCAGTTTTCTGTCCCGGGTGAGTCGAATGAGTTGTAGAACAGCGTCCATTTCATCCATTGTGAAGGTGGAGTCTTTGTGGGTTCTTCTTCTGCTTTGTTGAGTTGGGCGTTTCTTCCTCCCTTATCATTTTTATATTGGCTACGAGAAAGGCGGTGACTTTAACGTGTGGGTTTATGGTTTAAAAATAACTTCTCCTAATGGGACTTGGAAAGGGATAAAGTCGTCATTTAAGTTGAGATATATAGATACATACATTTATACAGGTCATTAATTACGTATTTTTTTAAGTCTTGTATTTATCTACACCGACTTTAGTTTTGTGTTTTTTAATTTCATTAAATATTTCTTTAAGCAAACTCCACCATTCAAAGAGAACCGCGTGTAGTGAAGATATTGGGGAAGTTCCAAATAAAAGATAATTGTCAATGTTATAGTTGACGTGCGGATTGTGTGGGCCACTGATATTTATTGAAAGGAAATATTTTTTTTGTTGAAAGGTGAGAAAATAATTTGCAATATTAGATTGTGTTTGGTAGATTTTTCTAAATATGATTTGAGAGTATGAATTATATTTTGAGTTTGTGAGTTATAAAATTATGATTTGAGTATGAAAAATTTGTTTGATGAAAGAGTTATGAAAAGAGTTTTGAAGATAGTTTTGAATTGAGTGGAGAATTTTTGATGTGACATATGATAATTGATACAAAAATTTACAACTCATAACCAAACATACCACTTAAAATTCTATTAAAGCACATAAATTTTTCTTAAAAATTCGGAAAATATTTTTTTTGAATATATAAAAATTAACATATGTCAATTGTAAAAAAAATGAAATAAAATAAAATTTGTACTGTTCCGATCAACCGGCCAAACGATTGGTGGAATGTCTGGTTAATTCAAATTTTTCCGCCTTCAACCAAGTTTTCAAAAGTGAGTGAAATTATGATTCGAGATTCCTAAACAAACGTGAAGCACGAATGATATGGTGGAATTGTATTTGAGAATACAACCAATCAGAGCCAATTTTAAAATGAGATTTGAGTTTTAAATTTTGAATTATATTTTGAAATATAATTTTTTTCAATAATGTTTGAGAGCTCTAATTTGAGAGCTCTAATGCAGCTCTAATGCTCTAATAATGTGGAGAGTACCCATGTGCAAGTAGGACCTACACTCCTCTCTCTATCTCTCTTTACTCTCTCTCTCTTTCACCTCACTAGAGCTCCATTTAGAGCTCTCAAATTAAAGTTATGTATCATTACTCAATTTTTTTAATTAAGATTTGAAAAGGAAAAACTTGTTTAATTATGAGTTTTAAAAAGAATTTTAAGTTTTGAGTTATATTTTTAAATTATTTTGGACTTATTTTTTTAAATATTTAAAAAAGTTCTTATTTTTATTTTTGAAGATAAATATTTATTTATTTATTTTTAATCTACATTGTATTTATTACACTATATTTTTAAAAAATATTTAAAATTTTATTTTTTATTTTAAATATAAAATTTTTATTTATAATATATTATTTTTTATTTAAAATATTTTATTTTATTTTTAAATATTATTATTTTTTAAAATTTTAAAAAAAAATTGTAAAAAAAACTTGAATCATCTATCCTAACAAATTATTTGACTAATACTTAAAAAAATAACAAAATATTTTTTTCATAAAAGTAAATAATAAAAAAATTTGAAAAAAAATAATTTTAAAGAACAAAATAATTTTTTAAAAAAATAAATTTTTAAAAAGAGTTTGATTATAAGTTTTAAAAGAGTTTTAAATTTTTTTATTCAAATTATGATTTGAAAATTAAATCAAATGTCACCTTTATTTTTTAATTTTTATGGTAGTGCAAGCCACAAGTCTTGAATGCAGGGTGAAACTGTGGGGTTTGCACCGAGCTTATTTCAATTATATGGATTATTCATATTGTAAAATTAGATGAGTAGATTCTACAAAAATAAAATTAGATTAATTAGACATTTGTAATTTGTTATAATATCACATTTATTTATTTATTTATTTATAAAGCAATTAACATGATTTTTATAATTTTTAAAAAATAATTAGGACTTGATGGAACGAAGGATGATATGCTTGATGAATTTTACAATATGAACAGTTTGTATTATCAATTTTTTTAATAAGTTTGTTTAATTAATTTATTTTTTCATAAATAATATGCTCGATAAATTTTATAATATGAACAATTCGTATTATCAATATAAGTCTTAAATAAACTCCCGCAAGCCTCACAACAACAATCCCAATTAGTTCTTGCAAGTCTAACAAAAAAAATTCTACTTTGTAGAGGGCCAGAAATTATGGTTCAAATTAAGTATGGGTCTAAGTGCTGAGATTACTCCTTTTAAGCGACCAAGTATGACTAAAGGAGCATGGATTAAAGCCCAAGGGAAGTGGGCCAATAGTGGGTCGAAACAGGTCTGACTCACCAAGGATCTGAACAAACTCCACGAAGGAAAGTGTTTAAGTGAAGTTGCAGAGGCAACATTTGCAACAATCGAGTTGCTGAGACACTTTGCTTCATCGCCGCAATTCTCAATATTGTCGGTTCCGCCACCATCTGAAGTTACTGAAGGAAAGAGAAAATCAAAGTAACTAAGTTGCAACGACAATACTTGCAGCAACCAAGTTGCGGAGGTACTTTGTTGGCACCACCATCCCTAATATTGTCGGGACTGCCATTTGGACTTGCCGCAGGAAATGATTGCCACAACAACTACAGCCGCCGCAACTAACTTGCGAAGGGAACATCCCGCCAAGGTGATAACAGCCTTTGGAAGAAGCTTTCCCTCTACAAGTAGAGGCTAATGCTTGGCGCTGATAGCAAGCCCTAAGGCGTTACTAGCCTAGGGCTGATAGCAGGCCCCAAAAGTCATTTTTAGCTCGACGCTGAAAGCAAGCCCCAAAACTCACTAGCCTGGGACTAATAGTAAGCCCCAAGGCTTACTGGTTAGAGCTAATAACAGGCCCAGAGAGATACCAGCATACCGCGGTAATCCTGCAAATATGGAAGCAAGGCAGCCTGAGCGCGAGGGACTCCCTTTTCATTACCCAGGTCATGAACATGCCTTGGTTGCATAGGTAGGACCAATGAAGCCCCCTTGAGCTTGGTATTAAGGCACAACATGGTTGATAATAGGTTTGGTTGTGGCCTTTGTCCTGAAAACTGAGAAGTTTGTGGTTAGATGGTTAAGAGTAGAGGTTTCACTGAGGTGAACACGAACATAGCCGATAGCAGACTATGAAGTCTTGAAAATACATGTACTAGCTAAATAGAACTGCGAAGGCAAGTGCAGCAACAAGGTTTACCGTTGCAAGTGAACTTGCTGAGGCTCGAGCTAAGAAGGCAAGTGCATCGACAAACACTCCTGCCGCAACTGCACTTGTTGAGACTCAAAAGGTAGTTACAGTGCTAAACACTCCCGCCACAATTGCACTTGCTGAGGCTTAAAAAGTAGTTACAGTGTCAAACACTCCCGCTGCAACTGCACTTGCTGAGGCGCAAAAGGTAGTTGCGGAGGCAAACAAATAGTACACAGTACATACAGAAAGACGCGTGGCACCTTCAGCCTGATGGCTCAAGGTAGAATATTCCACGTGATCCTTAGGGAAACTTGTCTTTTCTCTATTTGGCCACTTGGTGTCCCCTTAGTACCAAGAAAAAGCCTATAAATAGAACCCAACTTCTCAAGGTCCAAAAGAGGATTATTGGAGATTTGGGAGAGATGCTGCCCATTTGTGCACTGTCATTCTCTTCTTCTTGAGCCACTTGCTCCACCATCCCCTAACTACTCATCCTCCAGTCATTTCATCATTGTTGGACCATTAACATAATTTTGCCTCTCTAATCACTATTCACATTGAACCCCTCCTTACATACCTATAATGTAGTTAGTTTAAATCTATTCTACTTATTTATAATTTTTCAAAATTGAATCACGCATTCATTAGCTGAAGATATTTTTAAAAGGAAAAATTACATTTTAGTGAAACAGTGATAAAAAAAAATTACTTTTTTATGACGGTATAGCTTTCTTTTGTGCATAGTGCAAATTCATTACTGCATTTGGTACAACTCTTATTCCGTGTCAGAGTTGCATAAAAAAAAAGAAAAAAAAATTATTTATAGTACAATTATTTTATGATTGTCTCATATATTTGTAATTTTCTCTTTTTAAAATGAATGATAACTCTTAACCGGAAAAAATATAAAAAAATCAGAGGTCCTGAACTGCCAATTATTTTTGCTTTACAACTCCAATGATATCTCGACACACAACTATTTAGACCATTTCCAACGTATATTTAAATCTTTTATCAAATTTAAATTTGATAAAAATTTAATAAAAATAATATTTCAACGATTTTGCCAAATTGGTATCAAATGAAAAGAGTCTTTTTTTTTTTTTTAATCAAATCAAAGGATCGTTTAACCTCTCTTCATATCTCACTAGTGGCCGTTAGTGGATGACCTGTCGGTCAACCAGATGGATAACTGGCTAGACAACAAGGTGGACGATCAGACTGAAAATAATTTGAAAAAAATTCACATTAGGCCGGTCGACTATCGAAACATCCTCCCAGTTGACCGATTTTTTAACAAAAATTAAAAATTTAACGTTGAAACACTTAATATCAAATGAAAATTTTAACCAAAATCTTTACTCAAATTTGATAGGAAAAAAAAATATAATAATAAGCACAACGCTCTTAAATGGCAAGAAATGGTGAATCTGCAACACCCAATCATCCTCCTCACCAGTTTATTAAAAGTTGTAGATGCTCTGAAAAAATATTTTCTAACTCGGTCCCAGTGTCCATATATTGTGCCTTAAATCATTAAGTTTTACTTTCAGTCCAAAGGGTCAAGTTTTTATGGGTGCATGGTAATTCAAACCGACTAATTTGTAAAATTTGTAAAGTAAATTATTTATTCAAATAAATTAAATTCATTAAATATTAATAACATGGTTGATTGATTTATATTTGTACACACAAAAAAATGTGTCTAGTTGATGTCCAATTAATTTCATTTTTTTTCCAAAACCTACAATTAAAGAGTTTGGATCACACCAAATTGGGTATGGAGTGAGCCCACAACCGCATAAATTGGACCCTCCAGTCCAAAATTTGGATGGACTGGGGACAAGCTTTTTCTTAATGCTTATATCAAAAAATTAAACAAAGAAGTCCTCGTAACATATGAGAACTCTTTACATGGTGTCCAAATATTCTAAAAACCGAGTAAAATAGGCAGTTAAATCAAAAGAACGAGGGAAATAGATATCTTCCTTCCATTTAAAAAAAAGAAATTTTTATTGATAAATCACATTTAGAAGTATTTTAACGCAAGAAGTCCATAAAAGAATTTTTTAACTCATTTAGTTAAATGTATGTATAGTTTTATTACATAGTCTTTTTTCTTGATTTACAATATTTTCTTAGACACTTATACCCTTATATTTAATTTTGATACCCTTATAAATATTTTTTGAACGGTTAGCAATTTTATGATGTGAACATTCATATTTTAAAATTCACATTGCTAGGAATGTAAAATTGGCCCGTGGGAGGCCCGAAATAGGCCTGCGAACCGGGGCGGGCCTAGCCCGTTGACAATGTGAATATTTACATTGACATGTTAACATTTACATTAATAGGAGTGTAAAATTGACCCGCGTCCCGTGGCAACACGAAACCCGCCGGCGGCCCATAAGTGGCCCCGGTCCGGCCCGTTGACAATATGAATATTCACATTGATATGTTAACATTCACATTGATAAGAGTATAAAATTGGTCCGCGACCCATGGGCGACCAAAAGCCCTCCCGCGGCCTGGGGCGGGCCTAGCCCAGCCCGTTGACAATGTGAATATTCACATTGACATGTTAACATTCACATTGATAAAAGTGTAAAATTAACCCGCACCCTGTGGCTGCCCAAAACCTGTCCACGGCCCGTGGGTGGCCCGGGGCGGGACGGGCCTGGCCTAGCCTGTTAACAATGTGAATATTCACATTGACATGTTAACATTCACATTGATAAGAGTATAAAATTGGCCAGCGGCCCAGGGCGGGCCCGACTCGGCCCGTTGACAATATAAATATTCACATTGACATATTAACATTCACATTGATAAAAGTGTAAGATTGGCCCGCAGCCCGTGGGCGGCCTGAAGCCCGACCGCAACTCGACCCGTGACATTGTGAATATTCACATTAACATATTAACATTAATTTAAACCCGCCAAACCGATTCGCATCCATCCGCCAAACCGCCAATCCGCTCAATCCACATCCGTCGAATTGGCGGACGGATGCGGATTGATTTTCTTCAATCCGCTAATCTGGCGGACGGATGGCGGATTGGAGGTTCCGTGGCCGCAACCGACCCGCGCCCACCCCTACTCATAACATATGAGAACTCTTTACATGGTGTCCAAATATTCTAAAAACCGAGTAAAATAGGCAGTTAAATCAAAAGAACGAGGGAAATAGATATCTTCCTTCCATTTTAAAAACAAGAGATTTTTATTGATAAATCACATTTAGAAGTATTTTAACGCAAGAAGTCCATAAAAGAATTTTTTAACTCATTTAGTTAAATGTATGTATAGTTTTATTGCATAAAGTCTTTTTTCTTGATTTACAATATTTTCTTGAACACTTATACCCTTATATTTAATTTTGATACCCTTATAAATATTTTTTGAACGGTTAGCAATTTTATGATGTGAACATTCATATTTTAAAATTCACATTGTTAGGAATGTAAAATTGGCCCGTGGGAGGCCCGAAATAGGCCTGCGAACCGGGGCGGGCCCAGCCCGTTGACAATGTGAATATTTACATTGACATGTTAACATTTACATTAATAGGAGTGTAAAATTGACCCGCGTCCCGTGGCAACACGAAACCCGCCGGCGGCCCATAGGTGGCCCCGGTCCAACCCGTTGACAATATGAATATTCACATTGACATGTTAACATTCACATTGATAAGAGTATAAAATTGGTCCGCGACCCATGGGTGGCCAAAAGCCCTCCCGCAGCCCGGGGCGGGCCTAGCCCAGCCCGTTGACAATGTGAATATTCACATTGACATGTTAACATTCACATTGATAGAAGTGTAAAATTAACCCGCACCCTGTGGCTGCCCAAAACCTGCCCACGGCCCGTGGGTGGCCCGGGGCGGGACGGGCCTGGCCTAGCCTGTTAACAATGTGAATATTCACATTGACATGTTAAAATTCACATTGATAAGAGTATAAAATTGGCCAGCGGCCCAGGGCGAGCCCGACTCGGCCCGTTGACAATATAAATATTCACATTGACATATTAACATTCACATTGATAAGAGTGTAAGATTGGCCCGCAGCCCGTGGGCGGCCTGAAGCCCGACCGCAACTCGACCCGTGACATTGTGAATATTCACATTAACATATTAACATTAACATTGATAGGAGTGTAAAATTTGGCCGCTGCCCGACGCTTGCCCGCGGCCCGGGATAGGCCTGGTCCGGCCCGTTGACAATGTGAATATTCAAATTGACATGTTAACATGTACATTGATAGGAATGTAGAATTGGCCTGCAGCCAGTGGGCTGCCTGAAGCCTGTCCACGATCCGAGGCAGGCTCGTTTGGGTCCGGGTCCGAGCCTGTGGGTCGAGCCTCGGGCCGGGCCGATGGGCCTGGGCCTAGCCCTAGCCTCAGGCTTGGGTCGAGCCTGGCCATTTTTTTTAATTCTTTTTAATTTTTTCTACCAAAATTTTATTATTTTCCACAAAAAAAGACAATAGGCCTCGGCGTGGGTCGGGCCTCGGACCGAGCCTTGAATGGGCCTCAACCGGGCCGATGGGCCAGGTCGGGCTTCAAAGTGATGGCCAAGGCCCTAGCCTAGGGTCTCGGACTAGGCTCGAACCCGGGCCCAAACGAGCCTTTCTCGAGCCACGGGCGAGCTTCGGGCAGCCTACATTCTTTTTAACTATTCCATTAAATCCTATTTGAGGTAAGAAGACCAAAATACCATTTTTATCTACTTATATTCTATTTAGTCCATATTATTTTCTTATGTTTCAATAAGTCCTATGGGAGACATAATTACCAAAATACCCATAATGTGAATGGTCACATCGTCAATGTAAATATTCATATCATCAATGCGTAGAGGCCCGGGCCGGCCCATATCGAGCCTCGTGGGTGTCCGAAAAAATTCGGGCCGGCCCGGCCCACGGGCCAAAAAATTAGGCCCAAGCCCTAGCCCTGACACAAGGGTATTCAGGCTTTGGACGGGCCGATGGATCGAGCCTCGGGTCGAGCCGGTGGTCTTGGACCTAGCCTCAAACTTAGGTCGGGCTTGAGCGGGCCTGGCCATTTTTTTTAATTCTTTTTAATTTTTTCTATCAAAATTTTATTATTTTTCACAAAAAAAGACATTGCGCCTCGGGCGAGCTGGGCCTCGGACCGAGCCTTGAATGGGCCTTAAACGGGCTGATGGGCCGTGCCGGGTTTCAAAGTGATGGCCTCGGGTAGCCCACGGGCCGCGAGCCAATTCTACATTCCTATCAATGTACATGTTAACATGTCAATGTGAATATTCACATTGTCAACGGGTCGGGCCTACCCCGGGCCGCGGGCAAGCTTCAGGCAGCCCACGGGCTACGGGCCAATTTTACACTCTTACCAATGTGAATGTTAACATGTCAATGTGAATATTCACATTGCCAACGGGCCGAGTCGGGCCCACCCTAAGCCGCTGGCCAATTTTATACTCTTATCAATGTGAATGTTAACATGTCAATGTGAATATTCACATTGTCAACAGGCCGGGCCAGGCCCGCCTCGGGCCGCCCACGGGCCGTGAGCTGGTTTCGGACAGCCACGAGGCGCGAGCCAATTTTACACTCCTATCAATGTAAATATTAACATGTCAATGTAAATATTCACATTGTCAATGGGCCGGGCCCGCCCCAGGCCGTGGGCGAGCTTTTAGCCGCCCATGGGCCGCAGGCCAATTTTGTACTCTTATCAATGTGAATGTTAACATGTCAATGTGAATATTCACATTGTCAACGAGCCGGACCGGACCCGCCCCGGGCCGCCCATGGCCGCGGGCGGATTTTGCACCGCCATGGGACGCGGGCCAATTTTACACTCCTATTAATGTAAATGTTAACATATCAATGTGAATATTCACATTGTCAACGGGTCGGGCCCGCCCCGGCCCGACTCGAATTTTTCCACCCATGAGGATCGACATGGGCCGGGCCCCTACACGTTGACAATATGAACATTCACACTGACGGTGTGAACATTCACATTAGGGGTATTTTGATAATTATGTCACCCGTAGGACTTATTAAAACATAAGAAAATAATGTAAACTAAATGAAACATAAATAGATGAAAAATATATTTTGGTCTTCTTGTCTCAAATAGGACCTAATGGAATAGTCAAAAAGAATATGGGTTGGATGTAATAAAGCTCTTAGAAAGTGGATTTATCAAAAAAGCTCCCAAAAAAATATATATATATAGAGAGAGAGAGAGAGAGAGAACACCTTTTCAAACTGCCTTTAAGGATATTGTAAAGGAAACACACATCTAAAAAACATTCCAACCTTTAGAATTTGGCCCTCAACAACAATGCCTCCTTGATCTAAATATTTCATGCCATTAGATTTCCAAGTTCCCTTTCATTGTCACGCTGACCCGGAAGAAGAAACCATCAGCATTACTGAATGAATGCAGATTATGCCATTAGATTTCCAAGTTCCCTTTCATTGTCACGCTGACCCGGAAGAAGAAACCATCAGCATTACTGAATGAATGCAGATTGCTATGAGATGTAAAGGCTTCTATACCATTTCCCGAAGATCAAAATTCTTCCCCTTGAACGAAGTACAGAGCCTGCTCAAAAAAAAAAAAAGAATGAAGTACAGAGCTAATAAACTTGTCTTGTGTTGAATCAGTCTCCCCAGAAAGAACGAAGCAGAAGAACAACCAATAACACCAATTGGTATCGATCTGACTTTACATCTGCAATCCTCATACTTGACTCATCCGTAGAGGCCTTTGTTGTAGAAAGGAGTCACTAAGGGGCAAGCAATATGTTTAGTGTAGTTGTCAAATCTAATCTAAGATCCACAAATTGTCAGGTCTCTGTCATTACAAAAACACAAGAGTTGCCGATAGGTTGAGATAAAATGTGTCTCGGGAATACAAAGGTTGAATCAACTCAGGAGATTCTTTTACCTGCAAGAAGAAAGGAATTCAAATAAAAAAATATTCAAGTAAATGAAAAAAGAAAAAAGGCATGCATTCGAGGTTTGAGCTCTGTGTGCTTCAAAGATGCATCAAGTAGTTGAATAGCCTTGAATGCAGATAGTACATCACAGAATAAGAAAGAAATCAGCATTACTGATGTTACTCACAGCTTTACCAATATCTTCACCCACCTCCAAACTAGTCCATACAAAATCTGCATTCTGCTTCTGCATATAAGTTGCTGGAAACAAAAGAAATTGATTTAAGATTGTCAGAGCAAACAAATTGAAATTTAAAAAGAGTTCAATGTAACCAATATTAAACACTTACTCAATTTAAGCCAATAATTGAACAAAAAACATCGTTAACCTAGCAAATAGAAATGGCTAGAATAAACTCCAAGACTGCACTTAAATAGAGTGCAAAATTCTTGCAGACTAATGCATGCCATAGGGTGTGTCAAAAAATTGCAAAATCAAGGGCCAAACAGAAGCATAATGAACTGTAATTGAAAAAAATAGGACTTGTGAAAGATACTTGTGCTTGAAGCATACATGCAAGTAAGCAGAAGACTTCTGTCACTACAAACTTCTGGCAAAGGGTGAATTCATGAACTTGAAGCAAGTATACGATAGAATGTAATTTCTGATATCATTTCTTTAAATCATGAAATTACTTCCAAGTTAATATATACATTGCAATGTGGCACGATCCAATAAATTACAAGACCAAATAAACTTCAATAGTCTTCTGGTGTATGGAACCAATTTGTAAGTAATCTTGTATTCCAAATAAAAAAGTCATGTCCACTCGTCAACTTTTGTGTATACTGTGTTGGCCACAAAAAAGAAAAGAAGAGAAAAGAAAAGGTGACAAAGAATTTGTATTCTGAATTGTAGCCATAGAAAATATTGTCCATAAATGGAATCTTAAGAAGCTGAAAAATCAAATTGATGATTAAAGCAGGAAGGGGGGAGGGGTTGAGAGAGAGTCATAGCAGCAGCTACTTTTTAACCAGCGCGCTGAAAGGACAGAGAAAATCTTAGCTCTTTAGCAAGCTGCAAAGCTGAACGGAATTCACTTATCATGGACCTACAAAAGTATAAGGAAATATTGACACCATTTATGTCACTCTAATAAAATACAATAATCGTTCATGAGAACTTTTTCAGAGTGATCGATGATTTAGAATTAAGCTACACCAGATTGAGCATGTACAAAAATATGCATTAGTCCACTATAGTTAGCTTTCGACATTAGAAATATCAGAAATTGATACCATCACGTTTGTAATTGTTGACAAAAATTATTGCCTAATAAGATATACATGATTCCAAAAAAGAGTTTCAGGCCTTGGCATTCACAACAGCAATCAAAAGTGATGGCAGCAAGTCGAAAAGTCATCTTCCAGTTATCAGCATGACCCTATATCTTTAAGGAGAGTTAAGACTACAAGTGCTAAGAGCCTATGAGGGAGTGAGTGACCGACCCATTGCAGCTAGCAGTTACCATCCCGCTATTCTGAACAAGTTTTGAGGGCAAGAAGATAATGCTTGAAACTAAATACAAGTCTATATACACATACTGCTATAGGAAAAAGATAAAGGGTATTGGACTTCTTGTGGTGGTCACACTCAAATATGCAAAGTGCCCCTATTTTGCTTCCCATCCTACTCATGAAACAGACGGGAAAACGGGAAAACTTAATCTTTTAGGAAAACTAACAATCTACTTTGGAATAGTTTCAATGGTTCACATTCTTTTATTAAATTTATATTTGTTAGGAATTTGGAAAACAAAAACATGACAGACTTCAATAGTCACTTTTTTTTTTTTTTTTTACTCTTTTTAGTGTTCTGGATTGTTAAAGATTCTTCCTAGGTACTGATAGTGGGTTGTGGATCATTAACATTATGACACACACATATAATTCATTTTTCAAGATTTCAGGGATTTTTGCTTTAACATGAATTACTTCGATAATAATCTTGGGACATCATCTACCTCTTTCCATTCTTTCGTCTTAACTATGTTCCTTTTCCATTAATTTTAGTCTTCTTTTTCAATCTAGTATAATAATTCATTTTCTTAGGTAGGACTTAAATTCTTTCATATGTATGCTGATACTCTCGAACTGCCTTGAATCAAGTAATAATGATGAATTTCCAGCAAAAAAAGCAAACAAAAATCATACATATAAGTCCAATTAAAACAGCATTAACTATAGAAATTACAAAAGGTGATGTAGATGATCATAACAAACAGACAAACACAAAAAACTTACCACTTGCTAACTTCTTGATGCCACAAGTTGGAAGTATAGTTCATATTTGGATCATGATAGCGGAAGGACCTCATGCATGCAACTGCCAGGTCCACAACATCAGATGTATTGGCAACCCTTTCCATTAAACAGCCACTGGAATGTCCATATTTGTCCTAATTGGAACATTTCTCCTTGAAGATGCAATCCCAAAGTTCAAGTCCTCTGATGCAGTTTGCATTATCTTAAAGGCATCATTAGGCATCCCAGCCTTCAAGAGGCAAGAAATCAAAGAATTTACAGTAATTCTATCTGGTGCACAACCAATTGCCAACATCTTATTATATATGTTTATTGCTTCATTCATTTTCCCTTTCATACAATGTCCAATAATGAGAATAGTGAATGTTAATTTATCAGGCTTGCATCTCTTCGCCTCCATTTCTGCAACAATCACATTTGCCTCATCAATGTTACCAGCCTTAGAAAACCCATCAATCACAGGGTTGTAAATAAATGGTTGGGGAACAATATCATCCCTCCATCTCAACTGTCGTAATATATCACGAGCCTCATCAATTCTATTCTCCTTGCACAAAGCATTGACAAGAATGGCAAAAGTATACACATTAGGAGTCAAATTTTTCACATACATTTCATCCCAAAGCCCCAATCCTTTATCGACCTGCCCACTCCGACAATTACCATCAATTAGAGATGTGAAGGTAACAACATCAGGATGACAACCAAGAAAAAGCATCTTATCATAAATATTCAGTGCAGATGACATGTCACCGTTCTTGCCAAAACCATCAATGAGAACATTAAAAGTAACCAAACTTGGTTTAATTCCAGAACTAACCATCTCATCAAAAATATTCGAAGCCAACTCCATGTTACCCGACTTGCAATATCCTGATATCACTGATGTAAAAGTTACAACATCTGGAGAAAACGTGTTTCCAGACTGAATTTCTCTCAATAGCTCAAGACCTCTATCCACCTCACCAACCCTACAAAATCCATTAATAAGTGTATTGTATGTTATAACATCAGGCAAACAACCAAAACTCCCCATATCATTGAAAAACCCAATAGCTTTCTCAACCTCTCCTACTCTGCACAGACCTCGAATTACAATATTGAACGTGCAAGTATCAGCCCGATAAAACTGCAACCTTAAAATATGCTCTCTGAATAAGCACACAGCCTCTTGTACCCGATTTTGTTTCACCAACAGACTCAATAAGTTATTATATACAAAAGAACGAAGCTCTACATTGTCGGATTGAGCATGAGAAAGCAATTGTTTTGCAAAATCAAACTTACCCCAATTCGCAAACGACGATACCAAGAATTCTAAAATTGAACTATCAGGCAAATGCCCATCAATCCTCATGTACTCAAATACCAATTTAGCTAAATCATGAAGACTCATTTGACAAAGAGACCTTAAAAGCACATTGTATGTATTGAACGAATGAATAAGATTCAAATTGAGCCTAGTAAACTGAAAGAAATTAAAAGCTAACTTGGGATTACTATGATTATAATTTAGGCATTTGATAACGTCGAATGCAATCAAAGGACTTAGGTTGTTACGAAAATAATCGGAATGAAAAATATCGAGAGACCTCGTGGAGAAACGAATACAGAGAGTACATACAACCTTGACGAACCAAACCTCGGAGTGATTCGAATGAGGATTGGGGAAAGCTTTATCGTGTAAAGAAGCAATGGCGGCTACAATCTTGGGCTCACTCCGAACAGTGTAGAGATTGGAATCGACAAGTGGGAAAATTTTCCTTCTCGATTGGTTCGAGATCCTCAATTGCATTATTTCCAATCAGTGCTCGTTGGAATCGATCTAAGAAATAGAGATTCGATTGTTTGTCATGACATTTGGATTGGGTTTGGGGTTTAGGTTTAGGGTTAGGGTTTTGAAACCGAACAAGAATCGGCTTCCGGCAAAGTTTTGACCTCAGCTTGGTGAAGTTGAGGGATGGGGCTGGAAAACTAAAGCCAGGAAAGGGACAAACTTGGAATTGAGGTGTGCCATTCCTTTGTGGCCAATTTTTTGGGTTTTTTTTAAAGAAAATGATTCATTCACACAATTTATCTCTTCTAAATTTCTTGAATAATTATCTTACATTTCAATATTCTCTTAAAACTCTCTTTACATGTATTATGTCTTGTCACCTTATTCAGGAGATTTTGAAGGAAACAAATTATGTGGATGTAGGGATGTAAATTAGGCTCGGCTCGATCCATGCCGGACTGCCCGAGTTCCTACCAAAATTCAGGTTGGGCCGAACTAGCCCACGGGCTAGCAAATTAGACCCAGACCTATGAGGTATTCAGGCCTTGAGCGGTCGTAAGTCTGGGCTCGGACTTGGGTTGGGCCGAGCCTAGGCAGGCCTAAACATTTTTTTAATTTTTTTCTATTTTTAATACTAAAAATTTATTCTTTTCTACTAAAAATGATACTAGGCCTTGTGTCACGACCCGCTCCCCGTAACCAAGGGTTAAGCATCATAATGGCCAGTAACTGAAACTACCTCCGGCCAATTCTTGAACAAATTAATAAGCGCGAGCGAAAACAATATTTAAGTGAATGTATCAAAATAATTATCGGACCTTCTATTTTTGTTACAAAATTTATTGACCCAAAATGTCGATATTTACATATAAAAATATCATAAAAGTGTTGTGTGTGTCTATTCTGTAACCCGACTTTCCAAAAGTTATTTCTAAATTGCATTGTTTCCTAAAAATTGGTAAACAGTTATAAGCACATAGCAGAGTGAGAAATATTATACAAAGAGTATAAGGGACACAAAATAGCGATGGATAGTTATGTAACTAAAATATTTAAGATAAATTAGTCTGAACAAATAATCATTTAAGTAGCAAAACTGAAATTATGTAAGTAAATAACCATAATCATGGTACCAAACAAAACAGAACAGAGGCCACAGGAGTGACAGTCATAACAGATATACAGATTCAAGAGATGGCTCATACGGATTATAGAGGTGGCTCCCACAATAGTGTAACACTTATCTCCGCACAGAACAAAGGTCAATAGATTCATAACAACAGAGGGTTACAAAGTGACCAAACAGAGGCCAATGGTTATTTACATCCCCCAAAGCGTGGGACTCCCGTAGTGGTACTTACAAAACATAATTGTTTATACGGTTATAATCAAATATTCTTTAAAATATAAACAAACATATTCATGGGTTTCATTTTAACAAATAAGGTTCAGAAAATAATCCACGTAATTGAAATATTAATAAAATTAATAATAATTTATAAAACATAACTTGTATAAAACAAATATGGTAAGTCAAAACATACGTAAAATATATTGTGGTAACTCAAGGTATAATATAACTTACCTTAACATTGACCCTTACAATTTTCTTCTTATTTTCACTACCTTCTCATGGATGTTCTTTCGCTCTCATTTTCCTTTCTATTTCCTTTTCCTTTCTTTCTCTCTTCTTTTCCTTTTCTTTCTCACACAACACCTCCTTCCTATTTATAAGGAGGTAAGAGCATTGACAGGCCAACGCGTGGCCAGCGAATCCTTCCACAGATTTGATTCATAAATTATATGGATTTATATTTATCTTTAATAAATATTTAAGATAATTATACTTTGGCCCAGTTTTCTAATATAACTATATAAATAATTTAATCCCTAATTAAATTATACTTTATCGTATACCAACATAAAATTAACTATTTATTTTACTACCATACCCATTATTATTATTATTATTATTTATTATTATTATTATTATTATTATTATTATTATTTATTTTTAATAATATATCATCACATACAACCATAATACTAGTATAAAATTTAAGGGACAACTTAAATTTTTGGGTTGTTGCAATCTTCCTTCCTTTTGAAAATTTCGTCCTTGAAATTTGTCATATATGTAAACTATCCGCTGCGCACTCTGATAAATATATATTAGATGATTAATCTGATAGAAAATATTACCTCAAAAAATTTTTTTACCAAAAACAACTCACTGTCTAGTTGTCAAAAATTATTTTGGGCAAAAATGAGAAACAATCAGTGATTTTAAAAACTTTTCATTAGTTTTATTTCCAAAAAAAAATTTAAAAAAAATAAAATGAAAACACAATCAAACACATTACTGGAAGTGAAATGACAGAATCATATGCAAGAGTTGAAGAAATTTGAGATAAACTCTCATTTCTTTTATCCATGAACTTCCACTAATGGAAAATAGTTTCAAAATTAGTATTTTTAAAATTTGAATCCATTCTTAAAAAGTCGAAATGAAATTTTTTTTTTTTAATACTGAACTGAAAATTATATGTATTTAATTATATTACAATTTTGGTGGGTGCTTGAACCCGACACCCTCTATTTCTTTTCCTTCTTTTACTATAACAAATGTAAAGTATATCTAATATCCTTCACAAATTAGGCACACAAAAAAATAAAATAATATATATATATATAATTATAATATAATTAAATCGACTAACAAAATATAATATTTAGGTACTAATTACTCGCTAACCTACTTCTTAAATGTGTGTGTCATATACTCCAATGATGATTTATTTATTTTTTTATAAGCCATTGCTCTGATACCACTTGTCACGACCCGCTCCCGTCCCCAAGGGTTAAGTATCGTGATGACCAATTACTGAAATTACATCCGGCCAATTCTTGAACAAATTAATAAGCGCGAGCGGAAACAATATTTAAGTGAGGGTACCAAAATAATCATCGAAGCTTCTATTTCTATTACAAAATTTATTGACCCAAAAGGCCGATATTTACATATAAAAATATCATAAAAGTATTGTGTGTGTCTATTCTGCAACCCGACTTTCCAAAAGTTATTTTTAAATTGTATTATTTCCTGAAAAATGGTAAACAATTATAACCATATGGCGGAGTGAGAAATATTATATCAAGAGTATAAGGGACACAAAAAAATCATGGATAGTTATGTAACTAAAATATTTAAGATAATTTAGTCTGAACAAATAATCATTTAAGTAGCAAAACTGAGATTATGTAAATAAATAATCATAACCACGGTACCGAACAGAACAGAATAGAACAGATGCATAGACTCAAGAGGTGACTCGTATGAACTTTAAAAGTGGCTCCCACAACAGTGTAGCACTTAGTTCCGTACAGCACTTTGCTCCACACCAGAAATCAGAAGGTCAATGGATCCATGACAGATAAAGGGCCACAAAGTGACTAAACAGAAATCAATGGTTATTTAAGTCCCCCAAGGTGTGGGACTCCCATGGTGGTACTTACAAAACATAATTGTTTATAAGGTTATAGCCAAATATTCTTTAAAATATAAACAAACACATCCATGGGTTTTATTTTAACAAATAGGATTCAGAAAATAATCCACGAAATTGAAATATTATTTACTATGCTTGGTTTCACTTTTCAAAAAACTCTTTTTAGAAAATTTTACTTTCTTATTTTTCGTATTTTTTTTATTTTTACTATTTTTTTTAATATTTTAAGCAATTTTTAAAATTTTTAGACATATCTAACTTAAATGTATCTAAAAAGTAAAAAATTTGTGAAGAAAACCTTTTAAAAATTCACTAAATACACAAAATACAAAAAAAAATATATATATGAGAATTCAGCATATTTTTTGTATTTTTATGTATTTATTAATTTTTTAAAATATTTTTTCACAATTTTTTTACTTTTTAGATACATCTAAGTAAGGTGCATCTAAAAAGTAAAAAAATATATTTAAAATTTAAAAAATATTCACTAAAAACAAAAAAATACGAAAATCAAAAAACTTAATTTTCAAAAAACTTAATTCAAAAAACTCAAACCAAACACATTTAATTAATAATAATTTATAAAACATAACTTGTATAAAACAAATATGATAAGTCAAAACATACGTAAAATATATTATGATAACTCAAGGTATAATATAACTCACCTTAACATTGACCCTTACTATTTTCTTCTTGTTTTTACTACCTTCTTCTCACGGATGTTCCTTCGCTCTCATTTTCCTTTCTTTTTCTCTTCTTTTCCTTTTCTTTCCCACACAGCACCTCCTCCCTATTTATAAGGAGGTAAGAGCATTGGTAGGCCAATGCGTGGCCAGCGAATCCTCTCACAGATTTGATTCATAAATTATATGAATTTATACTTATCTTTAATAAACATTTAAGATAATTACACTTTGACCCAGTTTTTTAATATAGCTATATGAATAAATTAATCCCTAATTAAATTACACTCTATCTTATATCAACAGAAAATTAATTATTTATTTTACTACCATACCCATTATTATTATTATTATTGTTATTTATTTTTATTTTTAATAATATATCATCACATACAACCATAATGCTAGTATAAAATTTAAGGGACAACTTAAATTTTCGGGTTATTACACCTTGGGTGGGCCAAGCCTCGGGTCAGGCTTTGAATGGGTCTTGAGCGAACCGATGGACCGATCCATGGGCCAAGCTAGTCGGGCCCAGCACACAAGCCAGGCCGAGCTTCAAAATGACGACCCATGCCCAGGCCCAAGGTCTGGATTGGGCTAGGTTCCTAGGCCTAACCGGTTTGGGCCCACCTTGGGTCACGAGAGGGTTTCGGGTCGCAATCTATTCTACACCCCTATATGGACTTAGCAATGCTAAATCAAAAATTATTTTTTAGTTTTTTTATTTTAATATTTTTATTTTTAGTAAAATATTTTTCATGTTTAATTTAATTTAATTATTTGTTTTTAGTTTTTTGATGCACTTAGGGTTATTTTAGGAGTTAACTTTTTTAATGATTTTTTTTTTTACTTTGTACATGCAAAAAATTAGAGAAAATAATTAACTTTTTATAGTGACATTTTGACTTTTTGATTAAAATAGTTAATTGCCAAAATAGACCTTAATATTAGCATACGTAAAAAGTAAAATATTTATGAATAAATCTAAAATAATATTAAAAAAGAAAAAAGAAATCAACGATTGTCTGTAAGATTGTT